TATTATATTATATTATATTATATTATATTATATTATATTATATTATATTATATTATATTATATTATATTATATTATATTATATTATACATATTACTTTATTATATTGTATTATTCTAGAATGCCAAGATGCTTGTATTTTGATCACTACAGTGTACCACTGGGAAATTCCAGCTCATTCCCCAGTAAAAACAATACGCCCTATTATGGTTATTCGGTAATTCAAATAATCTCAGCAACTATTAAGCCGATTACTGTCCGAGCGGATGGAGTGTGCAACGGAAGGCCTCCTATGACGCTATGACATGTGATCCGATGGCCGGAATCAAATGCGAGAAACCCTACCAATGTGTCCATTCACAATGTGGGATGAGCTTCTGTTGTGTAAATACAAGTATGTCCAGAACATTTCTTTGATCATGTAATCTGAGTTGAATGGTGGGAAGCGCTGTCGTGAGTTTGATTCCAAACATCTTAGTGAATTATTTGCCCACCGCAGCATGGGAAGGGCTGTGTAGAAACCTAGTCAGAATATAGGTATAGGTCCTGTGCGGAGCTTCTAGTAAGCGAACGATTATACTTCCCAAAACCCTTCCCCTTAAATCGTCTGCTTTTGGAACAACGTTATCTTTACGAAAATAAAACTCCATCTCCATTTTTCAGTAATCGTCACCTTCCTTTCCTTGTCATTTGTTACGTATTAAAAAAACTTGTTATTCAATATTAGTTGTTTTTCAACTCACACTTAAAAACTCAGAACATCTCAAGCAATGGATAGATCAGAAGGAAGCGGAAGCCGACATGCATGACGATTCGCAAGAAGAGCTTTAATGCTAAAGATTGATTTCTTATGGGTCGATATTTTTAATAAAGGAGAACAGTACTGGTGTCAAATTTTGGTAATGGTGAAACGTAGATGCTCTCTGAAAAGTTTGTAAAGTCACTTCGAAATAGTGACTCAACATAGAAACCATTGACAAATAAATACCCAATCTTTGAAGATAATACATGAATGAGGCTAGAACTTTAACGTTCTTCTTTTGTTGTTAACATGAGCTTCTTACAGTTGGACGATCGGAACTATCAGTTCGAATGTTTGTTGTTTAAAAAATTTTTCACTCAACAATTTGGACACGGAACGTGATTTGTGGAATAGTAATTCCATTCCAGTGACCAACACACCTCCATTATCAAACGAGTTGTCTCTACATAAAGAGAGAAAGGAAAACAAAGGATGCTAGTACTATAGTAGGAGACGGGATTGGGTGCGGAAGGTGGGAGAACGTCCGTTGCGCGCGTCAGTCGAAAGTAGGTCACTCCGCCCATTCACCGCGGCGCATCCTGCTGAGGTTTCATGATGACATTACATTACTACCAAGTGTCAGTGGAGCGAACGATTTGCATTTGTCCGTGTTATCTTCTCTTTGACTGTCTGCCGCAGACCAAGCGCAAATAGTATGCCCCACTGACAACTGCGACGTCTGTCAAGTATCGCGGGCTAACCCGCCGCATGCGAAGGCTGCGGCATGACCTAGTTTCGAAGAACGCGCGCAACGAAGCGCACCCGCGGAAGGTATATACGTGGGTGTGGAAGAAAGTGGGAACGTTTGTGTGTTCTACATTCAAGTTAGAATGCCATGCTCGTGTTTAGTCCTTCTACAGAATTTGCGCGAGGATCATCTTAAATTAAAATCTTGACAGAGATATAGTTAGAGATGAGTAAAGTAAATGTAATAGATTTTGTGCGTCATTGCGGCGTACGACTTCACAAAGAATATCAGCAGAAGGTGCCATTGGAAACCTAGTCAGAGATCATTTTCGAATTGCATATAATTCAAGTATTACGTCTTTTACATACCTTCTACCTTGCCAACAGTTTTTCTCGAAAATTTTCTGGAAAGGTGTGATTTTAGAAAGCATGCACAATTTTCAATACTTTCCTGACCTTCTACAAAATCGGGTGAACCGTGTGTGATACAAAGCGGGCGCTTCCTCTTCTTCAATGTTTCCTTGTGCTTGTATCTATAGTAAATCCCTAATGCAGTCACTGGGTACTTCACGACTTCGTCTTCGNTCAGTGCAAGTAGAGGTCTTCTTTGTATCTTCTGTAGTTGTCTCACCATGGCATCAGAGTGCAGAATGAGGTAGAAATAATCTAGATCCAAAGGTCACGTTTTTAATTCAGGTTAATAATAAAACCGTGATCTATGATGCTGTTCAGGAAATAAGCAAGATGCATGGGAACCTTAATCCTATAGTAATTGCTCCTATTTATTAGGTTGAGTGATGAGTCCTCGGACAATATGATAGTGAAGACTTCTAAAGATTGTAACTCGGGGAAGAAGTGACGAAAATGGACGCGCGAGGCATCGTGAAAAAGGCTATAAAGAGCTCTTCCAAATATATACTAACGAGTACACCTGAGCGTCTGCTGCGCTTGAGCGTGAGGAGAGAAAGTGCCATGTCGGCGCGAAAAACCATGCCATACTGCTTCAAAGCATGAGGCACCCATCGACCAAACTTTCGCACCTTGCCGATAGACTTCAATCCACGAATAATTGTGGGCTGACTCCCCAAGGGTGACTGCCAGTTCACGAGTAGTTTGATACGGATCGTCTTCCACCTGGCTCCGCAGCACGTCCAAATCCAACTCCACTGAGCGTCCCGGACGGTTTTCATCTTCGATGGAATAGTCGTCCGACGTGAACTT